GACCATAATTCCATTTCAATCTACATAAAAAAGAAAAAATAGCAGTATACATGTACAATCATAATACCTTAAAAAGTACCTTTTCTTGTACTTCTTGCTTTTCTTTGATTCCTTTCTTACTTTCTATTAGTTTGCGCTAACTTTTATCTTCTTGCTTAAATTTTTAAAATAAAATTGCACACACACACACACACACACACACGCACACAAACAAATAGATACCAGTCAAAAAATTTGAAAAGAATTTGAAAAAAATTTAGAACCTCTTCTGTTGGTGTGGTCTGTTTTGTGGGAGTGGCTTGGCAGTCATGTGACTGGGGGGGGGGGGGCCACTTGCAAAATGTGGTGAAACTCACTTAACAATGCTTTTGCTTAGCAACCAAAATGTTGGCTCAGAAACTCTGGCATATGAAGCACACAAGTCTTAAAGCTGTCAAGTTACAAGACCTTTGCACGCCTAACCCTTTAGGAAAAAAAAACCAGGGGTGTTCAAACTTGACAGTTTTAAGACTTGTGGACTTCAACTCCCAGGATTCCTACATACATACATACATACATACATACATACATACATACATACATACATACGCAATTTTTATGACTCACTAGCATCTGCATCTATAGATAAAAGTATGCCAATAAAATGTACATTCATTTCACTGTCTCCCATCTATGATTGAGCTAGAAGTATTCATCCATCCATCTTTAAAATGACCTTTATCTTGACAATATTCACATTACGTTTAAAAGATAGGTAGTGGATATTGCATATCAAACATTTTGTATATCATCTTAAAACATGCTCACTAAATATTGGAATTCAATATACCAAACAGAAAATTCTTTTTCCTATTAAAAAATTGTACTGAGAAAATGGAATTAATTCATTGCATCATATTGTTCTTACCTTGATATATGTTTTTAAAATTTTTAAGATGAATGGTAATCTAACTAGTTTCCTCCTCTTACTTTCTAAATGTTATCAGATTTCAGAGCCTAAAAAGCCTCCAGTATTTGATCAACCTCTTAAACCAGTGACAATAGATGAAGGCAAGATCCTGCAACTTTTTTTCCATGCAGTTGGATCACAGCCCATTAAGATCCAGTGTCTCAAAACTGGGAGAGAGCTTAGATCCTCTGATAAATGCACTTCAGCTTTGCAAATGAAAGAGCTCTCTTAGAGATCCAAGCAGTTACTAAAACTGATTCTGCAGAATATGTGTGCAAAGTCAAAAGTCTTCTAAGTCAAAAGTGGCAGTGAAAGGTATAGTTAAATTGAATATTTAGAGAGAAAATAACAATTCAAAGGCTGCCTGATCCTCCCTCACTTGCCAGGAAGCACAGAGAAGAGTGCGAAGTCCAGTGGAGGCAGGAAGATTCTGGGCGCTTTGGGAAGCCACGAAAGCCACTGGGGACCGCCAAGAACCTTCCTGCTTCCGCTGGACTTCGCACTCTTCTCCATGCTCTCCTCGTGACTGCAGTAGACATCCTGAAGTGGCAGGGGCTGTCAGGCTGGAAGCCCAAGCCCTATTAGCCCCAAAAGCCGCTTCTGGGCATCTATTGCAGTCACGAGGAGTGCATGGAGAAGAGCACGAAGTCCAGCAGAGATAGGAAGGTTCTGGATGCTCTGAGAAGCCGCGAAAGCAACTGAGGAGTGCCAAGAACCTTCCTGCCTTCGCTGGACTTTGTGTTCTTCTCTGCGCACTCCTCACAACTGCAATAGATGTCCAGAAGTTGCTTTTGGGTCTTGGGTTTTCAGCCCAACAGCCCCCACCGCTTCTGGATGTCTATTGCAGTCGCAAGAAGAGCACAAAGTCCAGCAGAGGCACGAAGGTTCTCGGCACTCCCAAGAACCTTCCTGTCTCTGATGGTTGCCCAGTTGGTACAGCCCCACATGCGCACCTCTTCCTCCTCCTCACTCCCCAAAGACTCTTCTCCTCCTTCCCGGAGCTCAGCGAGAGCTGGACACGAGGGATGGGAGGAAAACCATACCTTGGAAAACGTCTCCGGGAAGGGAGGCAAGGAATGAGTGGGAAGGGGGTGCCCTGGAACCCCCTGTGCTTTGCTGGTGGCCATGCCTCCTAGGCAAGTTTGGGAAGGTCCTAGGAGGCCCACTGTGCCACACAAGCTACCACCAGTGAGCAGCGATGGAACAGGGCGGTGGAAGCAAGCGAGGGGGGCAGGCGCTTCATGAGGAACAGATTCTAACCGGTACGGTAAATTTGTCGAACCTCTTCTATGGAACCGGTTAGAACCAGCAGGAACCCACCCCTGATTGATACATACATACATACATACATACATACATACATACATACATACATACATAGGACTCAAGACTAATTCCAAAGCCATTTTGTGATTTTTACATCTGAATGAGGATTTGAACTGTTGTCTCCTTGAATCAGGTCCAACATCAAGAAAGCCTTGCATTTACTAACTGATAAAGAAGTATGACTTAAGCAATTTTGTATGTATTTCCTTGTAAAAGTTGAGCAATAACAAAATCCTGACCTAATGTCCAGTGCATATTGAGAAAATAAATGTTATGGCTTCTGCAGTATAAAAAAACTGTTTTAACATGCTTGCTTCCAGAGAAATCTCACACTTACC